TTTTCGTCTCCAGTGATGATTCGTTTTAAAAACGGATCGAATTCATTGCGTTTAAGCAATAAATCGCAAACGTTGATACGCTGTGTCAGATGAATTTCTTTCAAATCGTGCGKAATCCAAATATCCAGCTTCTTAACGAGCCCAACACGTTTTAAATGATTCTCAATAGTTGTATGTGAAACATTTACCTTCTTTGCATCCTCCCATGTAGTTACGTGACGATCTGCTTCGATGATTGTTTTGATTTCATCCTTATTCAGCTTAACTGGTCGACTTGAACGTTGGTTACCTTTAAGAGAAAAATCTCCAAAACGGAATTTTTTAAACCAATTTTGCCATTGCATTTCTTTAAGGGCTTCATCACCATACACATCACGTATCATTTTTGCGGCTTGCCTTGCGTTCTTTCTTTTACGGAAATAATAAAGCAAGATATTGCGAAAATGTTCATTTATGCACTCCATATTAATATTCAAATAAAGAAAGAACATTAGGATAATATCTGCGCAAAGATTTCATAACGTTAAGTAAGGATTACAGATAACATATATAATAAAAAGAAAATCATAACATTAATGAGTATTATAAAAATAAGTGTGACACATCTATAATAAAAATCCGAAATTACTTTCTTGTCAACTCAATATATTGATAGTATCATGGATATTATATTTGTAATTTGCAAGTTACACATATTGATACATTATTAAATTGAAAAATTTTATTGTAGCAAGAGAAAAAAATGTAGAAAACAAATTTTTTTAATACAACAATCATTGCATTAAAACAATAAATAAATCTTAAGTTTTGTAATTGTAAGTTTCCGATTTAAATCCGATTAAAACTAATTCCGAAATAAATTGAAAGTTTGAATTTAAAAAAAAACAAATAAAAAAATGGACACAGATGGAATAAGTGTAATTAGGTCGTTCTAAAAAGTGTCGAGTCATCGCAAATAAGAACCGAGTAAATTTTTATACTTGGCATAATTTTTAATCTTAATATACATATAATAACACTTATACGATTAAGATTATTTCGTGACGCAAAAATTATTGGCGATTAATAATATAGATAATTTATAGTTTGTTAGTATTTGAATTTTTCGGTTTTCAAAAACAAAAAAAAAAAAAGCAAAATATACTTATATTATATATATAATATATAAAAAGATTAATAAAAAGAGAGATAAAAATGTATTAAAAGAAGAAGAAAAAAAGACAATCTAGATACTAATGATCATATTCGTCTGGATATAGAACAATTATACTAAGTATACACTTGGTTACAGTTTAAATGTTTAATATTTTTTATATCCTCTCTCTAGAAAGTTTCCCTTTTTGTTGGCTTTTACGACAAACAGGCATTACTGAGGGAATATTATTAACCGCCCACCCTACGTGGTTTATTATTATTATTTTTATTTTTACACAATAATATATTACATATCAAATTTTTTTTTGTCGGATTTAAATAAATGTAATTTTCATTATTTCGATAGATTTTTTTTCAATTTAAGAGAATAAAAATAAGAGAAACGAAAATGAAATATAATTTGCTTCTAATTATTTTCAGTCTTATCAGAGCCGGAAGATATTTGTTTTAACAAAATATAACGTTTATAGAAATAATGAAACGGGAAACGATGAATCATTGAAAATTTTAAAGTTTGATAGTCAAAACTATTATGTGTCGGTAATGAAACTAATATTTCCAAGGAAATTCATGCAATAACAAAAAAATATAATAAAAATAGAAAACGTGCTACGAAAAATTGAAAACGCCTAAAATTCTAAAACTCTGAAAATAAATTTAACGTCTTCAACGCATGATAACGCTATAAACAATAGAATAATATTTTACTTTCTATGATATAAATACGATGTTGGACCAGTGCAAAAACAGATATTCAAGCAACACAACTGCATCGACTTAGAAAAAATTATTTGGTTATTCAAAAAAAAGATAGAATAACCTCGAATTTTCTGAACTTTCAGACCATCTTAGTTTATAATGCTACTAACGAAAATTAAATTATTTCATTAAATGTTTATTAAGTTATTCGAATTATCTGATTAATTTAATAATATTTTAAAGATGAAATAAACAGTAAATTTTTTTTTGAAATAAAAAATATTGGTTTTTTTAATTTTTTAGATAAATAATCAACATGCGTTATCTTTCAATAGTTTTCATATTTATAATGTTCATCATTTACTCAAATAACACAGTACAAGGTTATGAAGTTGGTTCGAGATCTGCACAACCTGAAAGCTCAATAATTAATGCGCCACCACGAGGGTGTCCTGAAGGACAGAAACTTGGTGATGACTCAAAATGTCATGAGCATATTCCAACAGATTAGGAATAAAAAATTATTAATAATATAAAAATATTATTTTAATATTTAATGTTTCACATTCATTTATGTATAATATAATATAATGAAAATTATATATAATGTAACATAATTGAAAAATAAATGTTAAATTCGGAAGTAAAAGAATAAAAAAATATTAAATGTACCGTTTTTATTATATTTGTAATTTGTAAGTTATACATTTCGATATAATACTAAACAGAAAAATTTTATTATAGCAAGAGAAAAAAACGTAAACAAAGAACAATTTTAAATAGAATATTCTTTGTATTGAAAAAATAAACAATTATTCTCTTTAATGCGTTAGCTATCTAACACCGAATAATAATTAACGTACGTGCTTGCATAAGCTATTTAGCACTCGAAGCGATAAGACGTGTTTACGAGAAGCGCTAAAAAGTGTATACGTGAAGCAAAAATTAGTTAGAAGAACAAATAAATATACCCGTATTGTTTATTTGTGTATACTTCGGCAGTTAACAAATGTTAAGTTGTAAACAAACTTGCCATAACAGCGTATTTGAATCCATAATGGAAAAAAATGTAAATATGAAGCTAAACATAATCAAACCTGGTCAAAATTATGCCATCAACAATCAATGGAAATCTCGGAAATTAGAAACAACGTCAGAGTAGATGGATATTGATGACTTTAACACTAGAGATGACGCTACGAAGAAATGGAAATTCAATCCATCAAATAGTTACCTATTTCTATTTGACCTGGAAAAACCACAGGTGAAATGGCTAAGCAAAATACCAGTGAGCAACCAATTAAGCAAACTACAAGAAAATGACTTCCAGGGAAGGATACGACGGATAGGAAAGCTCCACAACTTAAACCCTTACCAATACATATAGAAGCTTTGTCTAAGCGGGTCATTGTACTGTTAATTGAACTATTGAAAGGAATAGATAAAAATGAGTAAACATTAAAGTAATTCAAGGACAATCATGTCAAAGTGCAAGTCAATACATGTGACATCTACAGAAAGGTCACTTAAGCCCTAAATGAGAAGAATGTCAATTTCTATACCTACCAACCAAAAAAAGACAGATGTTATAAGGTAGTATTAAGATAGATGCATCCTAGGACAGATGCTAGCATCATAATCGATGAAGTAAAAAAAATGAACCACCAAATTAGACAAATAAACAATATAACTGTACTTGATACAAAGCAACCTCTGCCGCTATTCTTTATCGACCTAATCGAATGACAACAATAAAGATATCTTCGAAATTGATAGGTTGCACAGCACGATAGCTTCTTTTGAACCTCCAAAAACAAAAAGAGATATTCTTCAATATTTAAGTTGTAAAAGTTACAAACATTCCAAAAACTACTGTAATAAAACTCCAGTGTGTGTTAAATTCGCAGGCAAGCATTTGACTTTGAGCTGTCTACATTTTGAGGTCGTACGGTGCACGCGCTTTCTCACTCTGCTTGAAAAAAGACTGTTATCCTTTTTCACGTTCACATTGTAAGGGTGAAAGTAGTTGATCCAGATATAATACATTTCAAATGTGATGAATGCAGATATATATTTTAAAACTCATTATACAGCAAATCAGTGCGGCTCTTGGACCCTGTATCACTATCTGCCCTAATCTCGTTGTTTCTTACTAGCAGTAATCTCTAATTTATACTAACCAGCTGAACTTGTGTAATGAATTGAATTATGTGCTGATCACCTGTGTATGATTCCGTCTAACGAGTATGGAAAAACTCAAGCAACTAAATCAACTGGGGTGTAGCGATCTTCGCCTGCTAATTATAAGTTTTCTCACCACAAGCACCCCTGTGACCTTGGAGTGGGGGTAGGTGACAAAAATACGACTCTCCAAATTTTGGGAATCGCGATAGGATACTGCACACGATAGCTAGGTAACTATTGATAATCTTTTTCTGTTTGTCGACGAAGTGAGATTCCGTGATCCTAACGAAATATTCACTATCTTTGGTAAAACCTTTTTTAGGGTATCTTTATTTATGTGAATACGGTCAGAATTTTCTGCTGCGATAAATTCTTCAGGTGTTCCGATAAATGACAGAACACACATACAGATTAAATAAGCAACGTGGAATGCTTTAATTGTCAAGGAAATCACCCTGCAAGCTACAAAGGTTGTATAATTAAGAAATAGATACAGCAATAAATTTACCCTAAGCTGAGGCACAAAACAGCTATAGAAAACTGTAATTCATATAATGTAACTAACACTGCATACTATAATAACAATTCCTTCGAAGGTCCACAGCTAAATCTTAAAACTAGCAAAAATAATTCAACCGCGTGAGACAACAAATGAAAATAATGGAACAGAGCCAGAAATATCTGAAATGAAAAACTTGTTGATAAATATAGCTAAAAACACAGAACTAATAAGCAAAATGCTTATACAACAAACGAAACTCCTATCACAACAATCACAACAAATAAACAAAATAATAAAACTTGGAAAGTACATGCTAAATATAAAAAAAATAACATGAATACACTTAAAATTGCAATTCGGAACGCAAACGGGTTGTATTAAAGTACATGTTGATGCGACCGACGCCTTAATCGGTACTTTAGTGGATTGTAGTGAATCGAAAAATGCCCTTACGGGTGATATCGAGATTGTTTATTAATGGGAAGGAGGATAGGAAAATAAAACACAATAACAAATGTATTTGAGCCCAGTCAGTACTAAAGAGTACGCTTTTATTTGGCTCGTCAGGGAAAAGCCTTTCGGCATAAAAACCCTGGTTGAAACGTTGACGAAGAATCCGTACAAATCAGGATAATTCAGGCCACATGCAGGACTGCCTTTGTCCTTTGTCGCTGGCCGAACTTAAATGATGTAGTATTGCGCAATACAATAATTCTCCTCGAAGTAGTTCTCGCAAGTCTCAGCTTTCTAAGTTAGATGAATCTCGAGCGATGAATCACGAGTGACGAATCACGAGTGATGATCGATGAATGATGAATGCTACGTATTGAATGCCCAATTGATGAGTGCCACTAAGCGCAAGAATGCGCTATGCTTTATAAAAAAAAGCGATGCAATGCTGCACCAATCACCGAAAAGCCCGAGCATAACGCGGCTGTGGATACATGTGATTGGCGTAATAAATGTGGTGGGAGCACGCGAGCWAGAAGAAAGAAGGAGCCCTTACAAACATCTTGGCGCTACCGTGGTTACCACCAAAAACAAAGATAATACTTTGTCGCGCGTGTCTCACGCCTTGGCAGGGCCGTACACACCCCGGCGCTTCGCCCTACTCACTCGTTGCGTAGGATATGCAACAGTACACAAGAGTTGAAAATTTTCTTACTTACCAATAAAACAGACGCTATACTCGTAGCAGAAACACACATTACCAGAAAAAATTACATTTAAATATCATTCTACAATGTGTACGATACTAGAAACCCCTCAGGAAGGGCCCATGGCAGGACAGCTATAATCATAAAACAAGATGTTAAACATTTACTTCAGTGCTCGATTGTCGATTCGCAAATTCAAGTTACAGTTGTGACATTCAACATAACACATGGAAATAAAACACTATCAGCTGTATATTGTCTTCCTAATGAAAAAGTATCTATTCAATTATATGTAAACTTCTTTAAGGGGCACACCTAGTGTGGCTGCTTAAAAAAAAGGTGATTTTTGGGATTTTTTTTAAAGGAAACTACTACATGAAATATTTTAAAATTTAGAAGATATATTTATACATAATTAACGAATATTCACTAAAATTTTTAAATTAAAAAAGGTAATTTTCAGAGAGTTATTCGCTATCTCCCAAATCACTAAAAAAAGGACCTAAACAGCTGCAGTGATTCTGGCCTTCTTCGTGGATGAAATAAAAAAAAAAAATACTGTTAATTTAGAAGGTACTGCCTATACAATGACATAAAATTGTGAAAAAAAATTTGAAATTTACTAAAATAACAAACTTTTAACAAAAAAAAATCGAATTTTGTCCAAAATTTTGATGATTTTTGGCCCGCCAAAATTACATTTTTTATACAATCAAAAAACTTTTAGGTCATTGTACAGAGAAACATATACGAAATAAGTAGAAAAAAAATCAAAGCGATCGGATGATTCTTCATCGATTTAAAACAGCAGCTAATTTGAAAAATGTAGTTTTGAGAAAAAGGCGATCAAAGATAAAATGATTGCTTTCTAATCCCTTAGAAGGCTGTAACTCTAAAACTATTTGAAATATTTATTTTATATTTCAGTATGTTATCTTTAAAGATATAGACTATCAAAATATGCAAAAAAATTTTAATTTTTTGAAAATTTCACACTAGGTGTTCCCCCTAAATATACTAAGGAATAGATTCATTGTAGGTGGAGTCTATAATACGAAAAATACTATATGGGGCTCTAAAACAACTTCCCGACGAGACAAAATCCTTCACAACGCAATAAAGAGCCTATCGTTAGATACTTTATCTATTAGGGAATCAACTTAGTGGCCAACTGCCTAAGAAAAAGCACCAAATTTATTAGATTTCGCGATAATTAAAGAACTGCACAAGACGCGTATTAAAATAGAATCCTGTTTAGACCTCACTTCTAATCACTCTCCAATAATACTTGTTCTCTTACAAAAACCTAAGTATGTAAAAACAACATTACGTATATATAACAACACTACTAATAGGATCAAATTCAAAGAATATCTAGAAGAATACATAAACTGTAGCATATCTTTAAAAACTCCTGAACAAATAGAAACAGTAGTAATAAATTTCACAGAGACGATGAAACAAGCAAACTAAACCAGAAGAAAAAAATAGAAATTTCCTCCCCTACACTGACTTCATATTACAACAAATTAAAGTTAAAAGGAAAATGAAAAGTATTTCGCAATAACAAAAAACTAAATTCAATAAAAGAAGATTAAACGCATTGAAAAATGAGATTCGTATGAATAGATTCGATGCTGAAATGGAATCTTTTTCTCGAGTGTGTTACGATCTTTGACTGGAATTAATAATGTGAACCTATTTAGGAAAGTAGTTTATGTATGAAATATAAAAAATATAAAAAAAGAAGCAAAGCACCATTAATTGAATTAAAAAACAATATGATACATATATTTTACCCCGAGAGTATTTTAATTGAACAGAATATTGCTATTCTACTTCCAATTGTCCTTTTTAATATCAGGATGAAGAGAACGATTTGTAATAAATCGATATTCTTAGATTAAAATTAGAAAATTGTCATCGTATGTTTGAGAAATAAAAAAATCGCATATCATGTTATCCAATTTATCCATTTGGAACCTAAATTGATGATTACTACATAGAAAAAATTAAACGAATTAAAATTAATAAATAATAATACATATCTCAGTTAACCTCAGAAAACTAATAAATAATAATACATACCCCAAATTATCTCAAAAAAGACTTTTATTACTAATATTCACAAATAATCAAAGTTTTTTAAGATATTTTTGAAAATATTCAAAGTTTTTAAATATCAATCACCAATATATGTAATAATTATAATAAACCAATAAAAGCATAGGACGAGTGTCTTCATTAATAGCTCAGCAGGGTGTGCTTAGCAACAGTTTGAAGAGTGGGGAAACAAGATAACAAAATTTCGATATTCTTAAAATTCTCAACAAGGAAAGAATATTGTCACTTTGGTATTCTCAAAATGATTTATGCGTGTATTTCGAATATACTCTAAGAATCAACAATTTTTACGGATCCTATGTAGATCGTTAACACGTTAAGTGCAACAAGAATTTTTAAGGAAATCTACGCTCCAGGCGACGCTCGTTATTTAGTATTGAAGAATATCAGAACATAGATATCAGTCCACACTGAATGTAAAGGAGATATATCGAATTACTTCATGCCGTTAATTTGAAGTCTCTTTGCCAGCGCATCGTAAAAATTCACTTTCATCATTTTTTCCCAAACGCCTCAAAAGAAGTATAACGTCAAAAATATGTATTGTTTTAGTGCAATGATTGTTGTATTAAAAAAATTTTTTTTTTAAGATTTTTTCTCTTCCTGCAATAAAATTTATCTATTTAATAATGTATCCAATTGTGTAACTTACAAATTACAAATATAATAGCCATGATACTTTTAATATATCTTTATTCTTTTAATTCTTAATTTAACATTTATTTTCCAATTATGTTACATTATTTATAATTTTTATTATATTATACATAAATGAATGTGACATTGAATATTGGAATAATATTTTTATATTATTATGAATTTTTTATTCCTAACCTGTCGGAATATAATCACGACATTCTCCCTCAGAATCAAGTTTCTGTCCTTCAGGACACCCTCGGGGAGGCGCATTAATTATTGAGCTTTCAGGTTGTGCAGATCTCGAACCAACTACATAACCTTGTACTGTGTTCGTTGAGTAAATGATGAACATTAAAAATACGCAAACTATTAAAAGATAACGCATGTTGATTATTTCCCTAAAAAATTACAAAATAACAATATTTTTTATTTCAGAAAAAAAATTCACTTTTGTGTTTCATGTTTAAAATATTATTAAATTAATCAGATTATTCCAATGAACGAATCATGAAATATTTTAATTTTCGTCAGTGGATATTATTACTATACTTACGTAAACTAAGATGGTCGGAAAGTTTAAAAAATTCGAAGTATTTTTTCTCTTTTTTTGAATAACCAAATGATTTTTTCTAAGTCGATGCAGTTGTGTTGCTTAAATATCTGCTTTTGCACGGTTCAAACATCGTATTTATACCTTAGAAAGTAACATATTATTCTATTGTTTATAGCGTAATCATGCGTTGAGGACGTTAAATTTTTTTTTAGAATTTTAGAATTTTAGGCGATTGCAATTTTTCTATCTTTATTGTTATATGAATTTCCTTGAAAATATTAATTTCATTACCGACACGTAGTAATTTTGACTATCAAACATTCACATTTTCAATGATTCATCTTTTCCCGTTTCATTATTTATATAAAAATTATATTTTGTTAAAACAAATATGTTGGGGATCTTATAAGAATGAAAATAATCAGATGCAAATTATATTTCACTTTCTTTTCTCTTATTTTTATTCTCCAAAATTGTTTTACTTAAAAAAAAATCAATCGAAATAATGAAAATTACATTTATTTAAAATCGACAAAAAGAAATATGATATATAATATAACATTATGTAATAATAAAAATAATAATAATAACCCACGTAAGTTGGGCGGGTAATATTAACCCCTCAGAAATCCCTGCTTGTCATAAAAACCGACTAAAAGGAAGACTTTCTAGGGAGGGAATATAAATAATAATAAACATTTAAACTTTGACCAAGTGTACACTTAGTACAATTTTCCAATATCCGGACGAATATAATTATTAATATGTAGATTGTTTTTTTTTCTTCTTGTTTTCATTACATTTTTATCTCTCTTCTATTTAATCTTTATATTTATATATATTTTGCTAATATTTATTTTTTTTTTGAAACACGTAAAATTTAAATATTAACAAACTATAATATATCTATAAAATGATTCGCCAATAATTTTTGCGTCACGAAATAATCTCAATCGTATAAGTGTTATTATATGTATATTAAGATTAAAAATTATGCCAAGTATAAAAATTTATTCGGTTTTTATTTGCGATGACTTGACACTTTTTAGAACGACTTCGTTCTCCTTATTTCACGTGTGTCCAGTATTTTATTTGTTCTCTTTTTATTCAAACTTTAAATTTAAATCGGAATTAGTTTTAATCGGATTTAAATCGGAAATTAACTATTACAAAATTTGAGATCCATTGTTGGAAGAGTAAATAGTTAAATCAAATAAATATGGAAGATAAATATTCAATTAAAAATATTTAAAAAAATAAATGCTAGAATATCAAAAAATTGCTGTACCATCAATTTTTATTAAATTATAGAAATGATATATATATTATTAATTTCGACGAAAAATATATAATATTGTATATATACTTTTATTACTAGTCCACATCTACCATTTAAATCAGGTTAATGTTTAGGTGGATAATTTCTTGATGGTACTGTAATTGCATGTAAAATTTTTCTTTTATCATCTGTATCTTTTATCGGGATCGTTGCACAAATGATGCAAATCAATATAGTGGAAGGTATTGCTACAAAATAACGCATATTGATTATAATTATTGTTGTGTTGGAAAAAAAAATTATTTCCTCTCTTTTAACGCATTCTATTTGAATTCTATCTGCAAAGATAGAACAAATTATTGACACTATAAAATCATTTAATAATAATCCAAATTTATTCGATTAATAATTAAACATCGATGTAATATTTGAGTTTGGATTTTTTAACCGTTTGGGAAGAATTTGTATTTTGCGTCGAATTGCTTTAATGAATGCGGTGTAAGAGGAATTGCCAGGGCATGCAAAGCCATGGTTAGAGTGTAGTGTTTTGGGTATTGTGCATAGGCAGGACACATAGTCACTTCCATTTCGGACAACTACATATCCAGATCGTTCATGTGTAGATACAATTACGACTTTTAGACTTTTAGGACGTTCCTCCACTTTTTACATTACGCTTTTCCACCTTAGAAATAGTTTCGCCCCGACCGCTTTACCTTTTGTTATCCGTTCTACTCATTGTTTTCTTTATGATCATAAGAATGAAATAAAAGAACAAGCGAAAGTTAATCTAGTAGTTAAATAAATTATAATGGAAGCACAATTCAGTGGTTAAAGAAAAGACAAGCGAAGCTTAAATCCGGTAGTTACTATAAGAAATAATCGGAACTACATATACTCTAATTCGTTTATCTTCAAATTTATTCTCTTACATTACCGATCATTCTTAACACATCACTCAATTAGTCCACAGTCTGAAACATATATGGCAGCATTGTTGACAGACTCACGTGATTTCCGCGTAGCACTAACTTTCAAACAGTAAGTGTCAAAATTTCGTGTCATTCTTATCGCTAGTTTAAAGGTAACAGTCGTTTCAGTGACCCCAGTTTTGTATTTTTCAAGACAATGGATAGAGAGGAATTTCGTGTGTTGATTAAGCACAGTTTTTTGATGGGAAAAATACTGTTACTGCCAAACAGTGCCTTGATATGCATTATGGGGGTGTTCTGCACCAGCGAAATCAGCTATTATTGAGTGGTATGCTGAATTTAAACGCAGTTGTACATGCACCAATGAGATGCTGAACATTCTGGTCGCATTAAATTGCCAGTTTTTCTCGGAAAATATAAAAGATGTCCCTAAAATAGTTTTAAAAAACCGTAAAATAAAGTTGCGTGAAATAGCTGACACCTTGAAGATATCAGAAGATAGTGTCTTTACAATTTTACATGAAAATTAGGGCATCCGCAAATTGCTATCAAAGTGGGTACTGCGTTTGCTCACACCGGACCCAAAGCAACACAACGCGTCAACGATTCAGAACGCTGTTTTGAGCTGTTCAAGCGAAATAAATATAATTTTTTGTGTCGGTATGTGACAATAAATGAAACATGGATCCACCACTACACGATTGAATAAA